GGAAATTCCAATTAAACTTAATACATTTCTTTAAATTTTTTGGTCTAACTTAGAGAACCCCCCACCCCCCCAGGAAATTCCAATCCCTTCTGTGAGGGAAGTATGGATATTTTCTGGTCCTGTACATTACAGGAGGTGTATTAAATTAGCCAGTATTGACTTTACATTTGACCATCACATTGCACTGTTTTCTCAGTGACACACCTTGGCTCAAGTTCCTCCAATATATCACAGCATTCCTTCATTGGTACTGCTTCGTAACTCCAGTCCATCTCTTCAAGTAAAGTCAGAATCCTAACCACCACCTTCTCCTTGTAATCTGTATCAAGTAGCCGCCAGTGTCCTGAAAAGTACATTTACAAATCTATGGATATATGTCTTCAGCAGGGCCAGAGCTGAGACAGTGTTGGGCACACCCAAATCTGACTTAAGCCCTGCTACCTTCCTGCCTTCATGGACAATCTGTGGCACAAGAAATATGGGATCATATGTATTAAAGGCATCCATGGTCAATACCCTTGATTGACACTCCATCAACATCTTGGTTGACAGTCGACTAATTTTCGATCCATTGATACGGGTCAGTTGACACTTGGCCAACTAAGGACCGACTGATGATCAAGTGTCGATGGAGTGTCAATACCCTCAATCGACACTCCATTGACACCTCAGTTGACACTCAGTCAACACTCTATCGACATCTTGGTCGAACATCAACTAATTTTCGATCCATTGATATGAGTTGGTCGACACTTGGCCGACTAAGGACCGACTGATGATCAAGTGTCCACACAGTGTCAACCAAGTATTGATCAGAATGTCAATCGAGTATTGATCAAGATGTCGATTGAGGGTTAAATTCTGTTCCAATCACTCTGAGTCTCCTTACAATGATGACTGTTAATTCTCTCGAAATATTTAACAAGACTACTTACCTAAACTACGCTCTCTATTCTAGTTTTGATTTAAATATTATTAACTGATTTGATCTATAAGCAAGCAATGCAACCCACCATCAATTTCTAGAGCCTCGATTTTCCTTAAGGCTTCAAGAAGCTCTGTTTCACTTGCTTGCACTTTGGAAAGTAAGTCCAAAAGAGAGTACTAAAAAATTGAAAAACATAAAATAACACACATGCAAGGAAATTAAAAAAGTTAATATGAAATAAATATTAAATATTAGCTCTTTCAACAGCACAAAATTCTGTCTGAACAGGAACTTATTTTTATTAAAAATAATGATAACCCTCCTGTTTCCAAAATTAAAATGATAACAAAAACTGATTTCTGAATATTTCGTTATGTATTAGTTTTTGAGAATACTGGTATGTCAACCATCATCCCTTAGTTCTGATTGAATGGAACTTAGAGATAGACTTTTCTCTCATGGGAATTAAAGGATAACAAGGTTTTATTAGATCAGAATTGAATTAACACACCAGACTTGGCCTGTTCGTAAGAGATCCTTCAGACTGATCTTCAGGATTCAGGTCATTTTCTGATCCCTTGTAAGGATTTTCATTTAGCAGATACTTGACTTTTTCCAAACGTGGCCTGCATTGTTTTACTTCAAAGTACATGGTGTGACAACTAGAAACCTGTCAAACAAAATGATAATAGTTTTATCTTTATTGCAAACCTTATAGATCCTGGATCATGTGTACTTAAGGCATTAACAGTTGAGTGTTGATTGATACCCTTGATCAATACCTTTGATCGACCCTTGATCGACCTCTTGATCAACACTCCATTGACAGTCCATCAACACAATGGTTAAACTTGATAGACACTCCATTGACATCTCGGTCAACAGTCAATCAAGAATTGACTAATTGATGCAAATGAATCAGCGACACCCAGTTGACTATTGACTGACTGTTGATTGAGTGCCGACAGAGAGTCAGTCAAGATGCTAATCCCATGTTGATCAAGTGTTGACCAAGTATCGATCAGGATGCTGATGAAGTGTTGATCAAGATGTTGGCTACGGGTCTATCAAGGGTATCAATTACACTTTACTACTGATGTCTTTAGTACACATGAACCTTATTCCCTGCTCTCAGCGTACTGGTGGTTTTCATCAAAATGACAAGTATTTTAATTTGGTGATCCAGTCTTACCTCTCTGTGAACCAATGGAGAGACTTCAGATTTGAAATCTACAAAAAAAAATTGGAATTTGAAATTATTAGAGACCAGGAGGTTTAAAATTAACAGTGGAGTAGGACAGGAGAGTGGGGGAAGTCTTAAAGGTGAAAGAAGATAGAATGATAATTGGATTTAAAAGTAGAGGAAGCCAGGACAAAAACAAAATTAAAACGGTTTCAACATTGCCTTAGCTAAGATTTTCTAAAAGAAAAGGCAAAAAGAGGAGAGAGCTGCTATGCTAAAAAAGGACAGGAATGAGGAGAAAAAGATGAGCTTTGGACACCCCAGTATATACCCCTCAATATGTTTCAATACATCTCCAGTGTATTAAATCAGCTGTGATACAGTTAATTGCATACAAAGTTAAATAAATTTTACAACTTATGATAAGCAAATAACTGAGACTGAAGTCAAATTACCTTCATCCTTGGGCAAGGAACAGTGCGGTACTAACAACAGAGAATTAGAAGTCTCAGCCACTCTCAGATCAAATGTTGCTTTATCCGAACACAAGACAGCTTCATCTTGGTGATCCCCTCTTATAGCCACACTGCCATTAATAAGATCAATCAAACATAGAAAATAGTTAGGCAACGTGAACATGAATGGAATTTAAGTCTGTTGCAGCCTACTGCTGCTGAGTTGATAGTCAACTGAACAGTCTTACCCAAGATAACAGCAAAAGACCTCGGATCACATGTACTAAAAGTATCTGTGGTTGTGTGTTGATTGATACCCTAGATCAGCCCTTGATCAGCACTAAACTGACATCTCAATCGGCCCTTGATCAAAACTCAATTGACATCTTGATCAACACTTGATCGGTATCTTGATTGAGACTCAGCCAAGTCCAATACTCAGTCAGCACTCAATCAATTCCTTGATCAGCTCTCGATCGGCTGTCAGTCAATAGACAGCTGAGTGTCAGCTGACTCGTATGTATTGATCAACACTCAATGACATGTCTGGAAAAATTAGTTGACTCTCGACTGACAGTTGACAGAGAAGTTTATTGAGAGTCCATTAAGTGGCAATCGAGGATTGCTCGAGGGTATCAATGGAATGTTGATTGAGGATGCCTTTAGAAAACATGATCCAAGACCTGTTTGCCTTCCAGTAGCTTAGCTTCTAGCCGGTTGAACTGACAATGTTGACTATACTTGCCAACATTGTACAGGAAGAAATCCAGTTTAGAAAGCTCAGGGTGGAATCACCAGATTATACACTTACCTATTTCCAACATCAAGGGTCTCCAGTATACTTCTTGGCAGCTCTAATAGTTTGTACTCATCAGAGTTGGGATTCACAGAGAAATGCAGCACCTGTACAGGGCCTGTCCTATTGACGAGACTAGCAGCATCAGCTAGTTTGTTGACTTCTTCTATGGATCTATGAGAAGAATGACAAAACTTTGTACGGAATTGATTTTTATGACACAAGGTGTACAAATAATTAAAGGAATGTTGGACCATACATGGTGAAGGTATCCATGGTCAAGTGTTGATTGATACCCTTGATCGACCCTTGATCAACGCTTGATCGTCATCTCAATAAACTCTCGATGGACATCTCAATTGATACTTGGTCGAGACTCGATCAACATCTTGATATACACCTGATTGACACTTGATCGGCACCTGATCAATGCCTAGTCAACTTTTAGTCAATAGTCTTACAAGTGTCATCTGACTCGTATCTATAGATCGACACTCAATGCATGTTTATGAAAATTAGTCGACTGTCGACTGACTCTCAACCGAGATTTCGCTGCTTCATCGAATGATAGTACTGTCTTCAGAGGAAAATGGAACCAGGTTTTAAACTGTGCCAAAGCTAAATTACAAGCATTAAAACTGCACTCTTTAAAATATAATCTTATTTGGACTCATTCAGTCCCAAGATTTGGCCTAATATTGATATAAAAATAAACACTCTACCAACCTCGTCACTACCGCCATCTTGAACCATCTTCCCGGGCTTTTTCCAAACGCACCAGTACGAGGCTAGTTCCAGTCCTACTCTTTTTTAGTCTCGCACATTCAACATGTCTTCTGAAGGGTGAGTTCGCGTTCGTTTGCTTGGAATTCTTGAATTCTTCATGAGGCTTATAACTTTTTAAAGAGGGGATTAATCTAAAGTTGTTAATGCAAGCTGGTGACCCGTCAAGAGCAATCTCTATTTCAAAATTCTTGGTGTAGCTTTGGGTGGAATCTGGTCTACGTGTCTTCAGTACAATCCAAACTTTCCAGATCTTTCCGACGAATCTTTTGGAAAGGCTTCAAAATTATATCAATCGCGACGGAGAAAAGAAAAGAAAATCTTTGCCTGCAAACAGATAGGCCCTTACAGATCCTTACACAGTTTTCTTTTGACGTTATTTGTAATTTTTNGAAATATTTAACAAGACTACTTACCTAAACTACGCTCTCTATTCTAGTTTTGATTTAAATATTATTAACTGATTTGATCTATAAGCAAGCAATGCAACCCACCATCAATTTCTAGAGCCTCGATTTTCCTTAAGGCTTCAAGAAGCTCTGTTTCACTTGCTTGCACTTTGGAAAGTAAGTCCAAAAGAGAGTACTAAAAAATTGAAAAACATAAAATAACACACATGCAAGGAAATTAAAAAAGTTAATATGAAATAAATATTAAATATTAGCTCTTTCAACAGCACAAAATTCTGTCTGAACAGGAACTTATTTTTATTAAAAATAATGATAACCCTCCTGTTTCCAAAATTAAAATGATAACAAAAACTGATTTCTGAATATTTCGTTATGTATTAGTTTTTGAGAATACTGGTATGTCAACCATCATCCCTTAGTTCTGATTGAATGGAACTTAGAGATAGACTTTTCTCTCATGGGAATTAAAGGATAACAAGGTTTTATTAGATCAGAATTGAATTAACACACCAGACTTGGCCTGTTCGTAAGAGATCCTTCAGACTGATCTTCAGGATTCAGGTCATTTTCTGATCCCTTGTAAGGATTTTCATTTAGCAGATACTTGACTTTTTCCAAACGTGGCCTGCATTGTTTTACTTCAAAGTACATGGTGTGACAACTAGAAACCTGTCAAACAAAATGATAATAGTTTTATCTTTATTGCAAACCTTATAGATCCTGGATCATGTGTACTTAAGGCATTAACAGTTGAGTGTTGATTGATACCCTTGATCAATACCTTTGATCGACCCTTGATCGACCTCTTGATCAACACTCCATTGACAGTCCATCAACACAATGGTTAAACTTGATAGACACTCCATTGACATCTCGGTCAACAGTCAATCAAGAATTGACTAATTGATGCAAATGAATCAGCGACACCCAGTTGACTATTGACTGACTGTTGATTGAGTGCCGACAGAGAGTCAGTCAAGATGCTAATCCCATGTTGATCAAGTGTTGACCAAGTATCGATCAGGATGCTGATGAAGTGTTGATCAAGATGTTGGCTACGGGTCTATCAAGGGTATCAATTACACTTTACTACTGATGTCTTTAGTACACATGAACCTTATTCCCTGCTCTCAGCGTACTGGTGGTTTTCATCAAAATGACAAGTATTTTAATTTGGTGATCCAGTCTTACCTCTCTGTGAACCAATGGAGAGACTTCAGATTTGAAATCTACAAAAAAAAATTGGAATTTGAAATTATTAGAGACCAGGAGGTTTAAAATTAACAGTGGAGTAGGACAGGAGAGTGGGGGAAGTCTTAAAGGTGAAAGAAGATAGAATGATAATTGGATTTAAAAGTAGAGGAAGCCAGGACAAAAACAAAATTAAAACGGTTTCAACATTGCCTTAGCTAAGATTTTCTAAAAGAAAAGGCAAAAAGAGGAGAGAGCTGCTATGCTAAAAAAGGACAGGAATGAGGAGAAAAAGATGAGCTTTGGACACCCCAGTATATACCCCTCAATATGTTTCAATACATCTCCAGTGTATTAAATCAGCTGTGATACAGTTAATTGCATACAAAGTTAAATAAATTTTACAACTTATGATAAGCAAATAACTGAGACTGAAGTCAAATTACCTTCATCCTTGGGCAAGGAACAGTGCGGTACTAACAACAGAGAATTAGAAGTCTCAGCCACTCTCAGATCAAATGTTGCTTTATCCGAACACAAGACAGCTTCATCTTGGTGATCCCCTCTTATAGCCACACTGCCATTAATAAGATCAATCAAACATAGAAAATAGTTAGGCAACGTGAACATGAATGGAATTTAAGTCTGTTGCAGCCTACTGCTGCTGAGTTGATAGTCAACTGAACAGTCTTACCCAAGATAACAGCAAAAGACCTCGGATCACATGTACTAAAAGTATCTGTGGTTGTGTGTTGATTGATACCCTAGATCAGCCCTTGATCAGCACTAAACTGACATCTCAATCGGCCCTTGATCAAAACTCAATTGACATCTTGATCAACACTTGATCGGTATCTTGATTGAGACTCAGCCAAGTCCAATACTCAGTCAGCACTCAATCAATTCCTTGATCAGCTCTCGATCGGCTGTCAGTCAATAGACAGCTGAGTGTCAGCTGACTCGTATGTATTGATCAACACTCAATGACATGTCTGGAAAAATTAGTTGACTCTCGACTGACAGTTGACAGAGAAGTTTATTGAGAGTCCATTAAGTGGCAATCGAGGATTGCTCGAGGGTATCAATGGAATGTTGATTGAGGATGCCTTTAGAAAACATGATCCAAGACCTGTTTGCCTTCCAGTAGCTTAGCTTCTAGCCGGTTGAACTGACAATGTTGACTATACTTGCCAACATTGTACAGGAAGAAATCCAGTTTAGAAAGCTCAGGGTGGAATCACCAGATTATACACTTACCTATTTCCAACATCAAGGGTCTCCAGTATACTTCTTGGCAGCTCTAATAGTTTGTACTCATCAGAGTTGGGATTCACAGAGAAATGCAGCACCTGTACAGGGCCTGTCCTATTGACGAGACTAGCAGCATCAGCTAGTTTGTTGACTTCTTCTATGGATCTATGAGAAGAATGACAAAACTTTGTACGGAATTGATTTTTATGACACAAGGTGTACAAATAATTAAAGGAATGTTGGACCATACATGGTGAAGGTATCCATGGTCAAGTGTTGATTGATACCCTTGATCGACCCTTGATCAACGCTTGATCGTCATCTCAATAAACTCTCGATGGACATCTCAATTGATACTTGGTCGAGACTCGATCAACATCTTGATATACACCTGATTGACACTTGATCGGCACCTGATCAATGCCTAGTCAACTTTTAGTCAATAGTCTTACAAGTGTCATCTGACTCGTATCTATAGATCGACACTCAATGCATGTTTATGAAAATTAGTCGACTGTCGACTGACTCTCAACCGAGATTTCGCTGCTTCATCGAATGATAGTACTGTCTTCAGAGGAAAATGGAACCAGGTTTTAAACTGTGCCAAAGCTAAATTACAAGCATTAAAACTGCACTCTTTAAAATATAATCTTATTTGGACTCATTCAGTCCCAAGATTTGGCCTAATATTGATATAAAAATAAACACTCTACCAACCTCGTCACTACCGCCATCTTGAACCATCTTCCCGGGCTTTTTCCAAACGCACCAGTACGAGGCTAGTTCCAGTCCTACTCTTTTTTAGTCTCGCACATTCAACATGTCTTCTGAAGGGTGAGTTCGCGTTCGTTTGCTTGGAATTCTTGAATTCTTCATGAGGCTTATAACTTTTTAAAGAGGGGATTAATCTAAAGTTGTTAATGCAAGCTGGTGACCCGTCAAGAGCAATCTCTATTTCAAAATTCTTGGTGTAGCTTTGGGTGGAATCTGGTCTACGTGTCTTCAGTACAATCCAAACTTTCCAGATCTTTCCGACGAATCTTTTGGAAAGGCTTCAAAATTATATCAATCGCGACGGAGAAAAGAAAAGAAAATCTTTGCCTGCAAACAGATAGGCCCTTACAGATCCTTACACAGTTTTCTTTTGACGTTATTTGTAATTTTTTTTTTATTTGTTTGTTTTTTTTTTTCTTTTTTTTTTTTGCGGGATCTTTTGTAAAATTATAACACGGCTTTTTGCATAACCGAGCATAATTAAATTTAAGCTGCCCAAAATCGGATGGCAAGCTTTAATACTAAATTAAAGTTTTCCAGCACATCACAGAAGCAGGGCACTTTAAATTGGCAAACAGCGATGACAGTGAAATTGTACTTGTAAATTGTGTTTAGAATACAGTCATGTAGATTTTGTTTGATATATTTCTTTTTATTTTAACTTTAAAAGTTTCCTAAGTCTGATCTATTGTTATTTTCTGCTTCCCGACATTATTTTATTGGTACATGGAAGAGGAGTGTGAAAAGATGTGGTGCTTGTTTCCAGATCGAGTGATCTAGCCCAGGTTGGAAACATTGTGTTGTGTGCTTGGGCAATGCACTTAACTCTCACAATGCCTCCCTCCAGCCAGGTGTATAAATGGGTACCAGCGAATAAAATGCTGGGGGTAACCCTGCGATGGACTAGCATCCCATCCATGGGGGAGTAGAAATACTCCTAGTTGCTTCATGCTACAGAAACCAGGATAAGCTTCGTCCTGATGGGTCACTTGGCTCGTTTGCAGACTTTACCTTATGTAAAAGTAGTTTCAAAATATTCCTCCTAGATTTCACCCCCATCCCGAGTTGTCTCCATTATGTGATCGCCTGTGGGATGCAGATAAAAACCGCCTCACGCCAGGAGTACACTACAAGATTGATCCGCAAGGCAGGACACGGTTCCATTCACGGCAAGATCATGCCAGGGATCCACTCTTTAGCTTTGTTGACCCAGAAGTTTTTCAGTGGCCAACATACAAACGTAAGTGCATCAAACTGCAAACTTGTGTGCTGTATCAAAAATTTGAATCTTATTGGCTTCCCTCGGCTTCCTTGCCTATAACATACATCAATCAAGAAACAACAAACCTTCGCACAAAACTGTCATTTTGTCTGTTGCATCAATAATTTCAATCTCTATATAAATTGTGCTGATTTCTTTACTTCCTATACTTGATTTCTCTATTTTCCTTTTAATTGTTCACTGACCCTTCCTCTTAAAACAATTTATTCCATCTGAAGAAAGATACAAGAAAAGAGATGTCTTTCACATGCAAGGCTGTGCTCTAAAAGCACCTGGGTGCCACAGGCAACTAACTTTTTGCCTTTGGTGACTACAAAAACTTTTCATGGTCTGGAACCTTTGGGCTCCTCATAATTTTTCTTAGACCACAGCCTTGCTGTGGGCAAGTTGGATTCACCATGTGGTGGTGCAATATGCCTTCTTCTTCAGGCTTACTGCAATCATTCAATTAAGTCCCCAAGGCACTTGTGGTAGCTCAAGGGAGGGTGCTTATTGTAAGGAGGGTGCTGACTCAGATCATCCCATCACCTCATCTGCCAACTATAAAGCACATCCTTGATATTTTCCTGTTCAGCAAATTCCTTTTCAGAATATTATGTGTGTGCTTGATTCATAATAGCACCTGTTTTACTTGTTTTAGGATTTGTAGCTTTGCTAGACAACTATGAAAGTGAAACTGGACAAGGAGAAGTTGTCACTCAGCACGAAGTGAGGGAAAACCAGGTTTTCATTGATGTCATTATGGAAACAGAGCCAATGAAGATAGCTCATGAATACCTGGCCAACAAAGGTCTGATGCCGCGTGATCGTGCACAGTTCAAGAGAGCACTTTACTCGTTATGGTTTACCATGTACAGAAGAACCCGTGGAGTAAGGTGATATATACTCATCCCATCTTTTTGTGCTTAAGTTCATCCATCCTTCTCAAACTCATTACTAATTCATTGAGTTAAAACAAAGAAAATCACAACCATGAAGGAGGCTTGGATTCCCGGTATTAATTAGCATAGATTTAGACGATTTTACTTCTCTGTTTACTCCTTAGTGTTTGTTTCGATTTAGAAGATATATCAAACATTCGAGACAGTGTTTCATCAGCTATCCAAACACCTCACATTTTGTCAAAAATGCTCCGCTGCACGTCATATTTTCAACTCTCTTCTCGGTGTTTGGATATCCTGATGAAACACTGTCTCTCGTGCTAGGTATATTATTTAAAAATGTTAACCCAACGACAATTTGTAAATTTATGGGAACACTACGATTAAAGTGACCATGACAGATATTTTTTTATTTGCTTGATAGAATCTACACAAGATCATGATATGGAAATCGAAAAAAAATTGCGTAGCATTGTTTCTTTTCACTGCATTTTAGTCATCTGAAAATGTGAAATTTTGCAGCCTTCAGAAACCATGGAAGGTTAGGAGCTGGGACTATTCAGGTTGTGATGTCTAAACAAGAACACAGCTGTTCTTATTTCTTGAACCAAACAAATGGAAATTAAAACAAAATAAGTAAAATAAGTAGGCAATCAAGCATAATTCTAATTTTGATTCAAAATTGTTAACATTTACAAAAGATATGTAGACCTATGTTCTTGTTCTTGATGTCACGACCTGACTAGTTCCAAGCCCTAGCAAACAAAAAAACTGTCTGTCTGTAGGCATGCAGTGTGTGTAGAGTTTGGCAACCTACACTGATGCAATGAAGATACAATGTTGCAGTCTAAAATAGAATTATTTCAAATCATTACTTATTTAGTAAATAAGAAAGCAGATGTATCCACCCTATTATACACTGTATGTTAAGTAGGTGAGAACTGATTTGAAACAACCATCCTGAAGAACTATTGGCGAGAAAATTTAACACCTGTTTAATAGATGGCAAAAACATCTTTTCTTTTTTTAGGGAAATGGACTCCTCTGCCTTTGAACATGTATTTGTTGGTGAGACACGCAATAGGGCAGAGGTAATTGGTTTTCACAACTGGATTCAGTTCTATTTACAAGAAAAGCGAGGTCTAGTTGACTACAAGGGCTTCTTTCCAAGTCGAAGGGTAAGCCAGGAGAATGGCTTTTGTAAATTGTACAGATCATGTGTACTAAAGGCATCGGCAGTCGAGAGTCAATCAATACCCTTGATCGACCCCTGATCTCACTTTCATTCAATGACTGATCAACATAGGTTCAGTTGACAGTCAATTGACATCTCAGTTGAGAGTCAACTGATTTTTACATACTTGTGTTTCTATAACTCGATGGAAACACAGAACTAGCACGAGCTGTTGACATAATGATGGCGTGAGCTAAGAGAATTTACATTTTGATGATCAAGGTAAACAAGCTGTCTTTATTTTTTGTTGCGGTGTTTTCTAAAAGAAATAGAAAACATGTTCTCCATGTTTCTATTAAGTTATAGAAAAGGCACTCATGAAAGTTTGCGAGAACTCAAAAAAGCTGTGGAAACACTCGCCCCCACAGCATTTCTCGTTTTCCCAAACCTCCACTTGTGTTTCTATAACTCGATAGAAACACAGTACATGTTTTCTATTTCTTAACTAATTGACACCTGACCACATATGCCTTTAGTACACAAAATCCAATAGACCACTTTTGATATATTAGAATTCAGCTTGGCAGCGAGGCTTAGAGGAAACAAACAAAGGAAATTAAATGACCACGTTAATTGTTCATATCTTTTGTTTGTGTCCTCTAGGCCTCACTATTAAGCTAAATTTTAATATATCAAAAGTGGCCTATTGTACAAGAAAGATGCTAAAGTAGTAGATTTGGACCCATACTGTACTAAAAGTGTTGTGAACCCAGTTAATTTTCTCTAGTTTAATGGTACAGTATTTAAAACAATATTTTATCTTATTGGTCCAGACCTCTTTGATGCTTTTTATACTGTTAGAAGATATTAGGAGTGAACAAATGCCAATAATTGGCTCAAGTGCAATGGCTTTAGCTTTACATTTACACACTCTCACTCCATCTCCCTTGCACAAGCCTTTTTCAATTTAAATGCCTTTTACTGCTGCTTGCTCTGCTGGAACTGTCACCGTATGCAAGCAAATCATTTTTTCCACAGTTTTTTTTTATTATTTTTGAGTTTTTGAGTAGGGAGGTACAACAAAACACTTAATGACTGGCCCCTTGGGAAACATTGAGTTTTGTTTCCCCTCGACCCTCAATGGTCCCCTCGGCTTCACTTTGGGGAACATTGAGGGTCTCGGGGGAACAAAACTCACTGTTTCCCTTGGGGCCAGTCATTAAGTGCTTGATGTCTATATCTTCCGTTACAGAAGAGACATGTGAGCAGTGAAGAAGAGAGTATGAATCAGCTGATCACAATTCAGTTTAACTGGAAGGGCGACGTGAAGCCAATCGGCAGCAGTTTCATTGGCACCAGCCCAGAGTTTGAAATGGCGTTGTACACTGTGTGCTTTCTTGCTGGGGATGGAGAAGAAGTCCATGTTGAGCTTGATGATTATGACGTCAAAGTCAAAACGCATCACATGGGGAAGTACCTTGGAAGCTGTTTCCCACAATGCCCCTGAATTTAGTGCTAAGCTATTTTCAATTGAAATTAAATTTGAATGCTATTTCTGTACTAATGTATTGACAATTTTTAGACCTATGTACAATGCTATACAAGTGTAGCTACATAAGAAGTGCGATGAAAAGAAAATTAAAATCATTGCAAAACTACAAGATATTTATCTGATTTGAAGTGACAATTTTATTTATGTTGCACAACGACTTAAAGCTAGTATTTCTTGTGTTTTAAAAAAAACTGTTGTTCAGTATTTTAAACAAGATGACACACGGGTAAAAAAAGTGGAGTAGTCACGTATTTCAATAACTGTAATCGAGCTTCTAATGAAGGTTTCTATAATGTTTTTCATATACTGTCACATGTCATTACGAGCGTTGCGTGACAACCGTAGCATTACTGGTGTTGCGTGACTACCGTCCCAATGACGCTCACTGAACATAGAGATAGGCCGTTTCCATTAGTGTTCCATGTACGTAATTACATCGATAATGAAGATTTTTGGATTTTCCGACAGCCGTGCACCCGTAGCCGTCCTTACAAGAACTGACTCCTACTCCGAAAGCAAAATCATCTGGAAAACAGGTGGCTTGTTGGTCCCCAATACACCCTATCCTTGCAATATGAGTTGTCTTAACAGGGGTAATGTTAGGGTTGTCTTTTTGTGGGTTGCAAGTGTTGGCCAAGTTGAGACCGCACCAGCCTTGACGAAGAACGGACAAATCGCAGCTCTTTCCGAAAGCTTTGAGAAGTGTAGCGAAGGTATATTGCTCAGCGGGGACAATGCCAAACTGAGTTTTGAACAACTCTGCAAGAGGCATGTTTTTATTGTGTGTGAACGGGGCGCAGCTCGTTGTAGGACCTGATAAACACACCAAGATTTTTTTGCACTTTATTGTTGACCAACCATCGTTTTTCATGGATGTCTTCTGTGTTGTGTCTGGCGAAGTTTCATCATTGAACGTTTTTTCATTTGCCCAGTTGTCACTGACGGGTGAAAATTCGTCTTTGCCACCATTTATCCGGGCAACTAGAGTCCAGCCCCCCAGCGCCGTAGCGGGTTTGTCTGGATTGAGTATATCGCCGCGTGGCTCCACTCGAATCATTTCACAATGCGTCTGCAATCAAATGAACAGCGTTCATTACTCACCCGGTTACAAGAGTTCTAAACTTAGATGAAGACATCTAACTATTGACGAGGCCTGCACGTGTGAAAAATTGGTCTAATTGGGCTTGTGATTAAATAAGATTTTATGGTGATGATTTTCCATCCCGTCAGCAATAACTGGGCAAACCCATAACGTCGATGAAATTCTGGCCAGTTGTATGGTAGGTCATAAAAGGAATCCGCGGTTTAGAGAACGTAGAGGAACGATGTTTGATTGAAAGCGCCATAGCTCGGCACGCATGCGTAATGCAAGTTCGGTGTCATGGGTCCGACTTTAGAGCATCCGTAACCATCATAGCAACTAGTTACGCCGATACCAAGGGCGTAATCATTCGGTCCACAAGTCCTCAAAAGGTCACCTAGGCAACCAATCCGCGCGATATGATTGGTTGGATTCAGATTTGGATTGATGTCCTGTGGGTGGCATACGCTGGCGGTGTTCAAACCACACCACTGTTTGCGCATGCGCGACAGATCACAACTCTTCCCAAATGCCCGCAATAGTGACTCCATTGTGTAGCGCTCATCTACAGTCACCCCAAACTGATTATTAAACAGTTCTGATAAAGACATGTTACGGTTGTGCGTGAAGGTAGCGCAATGCGTCTTCGGACCATCGTAACACACTCGCAGTACGTTACTGGGCAAGTCTGCCCAGCCAATGTTTTTCATGACCTTTTGTGTGTTGGTGTCCGGTGCAGATTCGTCGTTGATGACGCTATTGGTTGCCCAGGTATTGCTGACTGGTGAAAACTCGATTGAACTGCCCGGGACCCGAGCGACGAGCGTCCAGCCACGAGCCACCATTGGTTCAATTTCGCAATGTGTCTGAAATTCAAATATAGTGTCCAAAACCAGACATTGAATTGTCAACACTGAGACGGATCTCGGAGGGGCTCCACTGAACCCCTAAATTAAAAAAAAGAGGCATTATAACACGCCGACTTGAAATCCCATTTCCAAGGATCTCCAGTTTGAAAATTTTCCCGGTATAGATGCACCCGGATACCCCATCAGTGGACCGAACCCTTTTCTCTCGCATCCTTTAGTCACCCCTTCAACACTTCACTGAATTACTATAATGCGACACGGCACTTAGCAAATTTGATTGCGATTTGTCTCTGGTAGTTCTTCCTCCGGTTTTCCTTATATACGCCACTTTGTGCAAGTTCAATATATACCTGGTGTCACATGCTCACTCTGATCTGCTTCAAGTTATACTTCTAAATAGAAAACTGATTCTGCATAACAAATTAATGAACCAATCAGAATTCAAAGAAAAACATGCGACACGTGCCAAGCGCAGGGGAAGACACCCGTTAACCAAGTTATCGTTTGGGTTTGGTTTTCCTTCTGATTGGCTGAAGAAGAATCGGGAGGTTTGATGTGGTTGGCGACGTTTTCTAATCAAAATAAGAGACGGGGATCATCAAGCGTAACATCACCCAGGGTACTTTTTGACATTCAAATGCTCAGAAAAAAAAACACTCCAATTATGGAATATTCAAGCCGTTTGGGCGAAAACGCCCAACACGAGAGAAATGTATTTATAAATGCTACGAGTCTAAAGTAAAACACCCACGCGCCCCATCTCTGGCAGAGTGAACATTGCGAATTTATTTCTTTACCATGATGGTAATAAGAATGACCCCCCTGCTCCCACCCCCCGCCCAAAAAAAAAGGAAGTAACTTTGGAAGTGAGAGGTTTGGCAGCATACTGACCTGGAATGGTTTTCCCTTGCCTTTTATCCAGTACGCACCACTCACAGCACCAGCATCTTTCTTGTATATCTCCTGACAGTTGGCCGCGGGATTGTCTTTACTATGAAAAAAACACACACACAGGGGACTACTAAGTGATAAACTGAGCCCGCTGTCATTACTCGTTTCTTTACCAAGCAACACGAGTTCACCTGATAACGAAGAATCGGCGTATCCAACCTCGATCCCAAGACTTCTCTCCTTTGCCTCCCTTGTCGAAAGAGCCTTGCTCGAGGTTGCACCGTATCTTTTGCACGTGTATCAAAGGTCTTAGTCAACAACATTTAAAAGAACCGTTAAATCGCTGAATTTTATGTTACTTTAAAGCTAGTGTAACAAAATATAAGAATCCAGACAGCGTGAACATCAACTTACCACCTTCCCTGGCCGCACTTTGGTTTGTCAGGTTGACCTCCAGGGCCACCAAAATTGCCCTGCTGGATATAACAAAGGTTGTTTCAGTTTTTTTGCGCACTTATTACGTAGGCTCCTGGTATTTACAGGTACATTCAAATTTATTACCTTGCAGGTCTTTTCCAGCTCCACTATTTTTGCTGTAAGTGTCGCTATAACCCCGGGAGAACACTGAAACTATAAGAAAAAAATGATAAAAATATTCAGAGAGTAAAAACAACCATTTTTGCCCAAAAACTCTTATGTGAAATGTTAGCCAATCAAGTAGCAACGTTAGACACGTCCGTCCAATCAGAGTGAAGTCGATCGACGCGCGCCAGTGCGTATTGGCGGGAAAGTTGTGCAGATGTTATCAAGTTATAAACGAACCTCTTATAGTACTGTAATAAGGGTATAAACTGTTTAAATGGCACATGATAGAAAAAAGAAAAGAACTTCAAGTCAATACAGTACCGGAGATGGCTGACAAACACCTGGATCTCCGGTTGGGCCCTGAAATAGAATGAAACGAACAAATCAGATTACTTTCGATAAGTCTGTATCAGTTGTGTCAAGCATGCACTGTGCACATCAACTGTTTTACTTTTCACGGCGTCTCCGGCGTAACCAATTTCTACCTGTTGTTAAAACTAAGCTTTCCAATTTTTCCTTAGCCATAAAGGGAGCAGAGAAACTTCCTTGGGGGCCTTTCTAAATCACTTAAATTTTTCTGAACATCATTTGAAACATTCTTCGATTATCTATGTTGATTATGTAAGTCGTCTCTCTCGCTCACCTTAGGCCCCGCGGCTCCTGGAGGTCCGGGTGGTCCTGGAGACCCCTGTGAGCAGAAACACATGGTCAGATAAGCCACTATAAATTATCCCAGCCTCCCATTTTATATATAGGACACTTTCGTCATTCCACGTCCCTTCCTTCATTTATTTTCAAGAGCAATGCAACTGTATGATTGCCAAACCTTAACTCCAGGCTTTCCACTTATTCCATCTTTTCCCTTCAATGCAAGGGTCATCATGTTCTATACAAAACAAAAAAAGACTTTTAGAAACCATTCACACGTAGTCATCTTTCTCAACGTCCTCAAAGTCCTCAAAGCACTTTTGGTGGCTTCCTTTCTACATTAAATTCTTCTTGGGCGGCAAAGCCGGAGAATTAGCTCCGTATTCCCATCACCTAATGCAGTGATATTTACGAAAATTAAGAATGACTTAGAGGGAACTTAACCTGGTCCCATAGAGTCATGCAGTTTCTCTTCAAGGGAAAACGATGTCTGGGACAGGAACCACCCTCAGTACTCCTAAATTAAAGGGAAGTCAATAACCTAAAAGTGAGACTGATTAGGAGACAATCATGTTTTCAAGTTCGCAACAAACCTGTGAAACCTTCACTTTACATTGGGTGTTCCCGGGACATGCGGCTGGTGAAACTGCAGGTACTGGAGCTTGTGTCGCGGACTTGAAAAAACAAAGGAAAAGAACTAGCTGTTACAAACACACAGATATAATGCTTAGCTAGTCCGTATTCCGTGTTGCTGAACGGTATATTTGGTTGAAATGATTTTTAACATTTTGTTTTAGTAGTAAGCGACAGAAAGAGAGCGAGACACTCGTGCTGAGTATTGTGGGCAAGAAATCAGTACAGATGTCATTATTTTGATCAATAAATCAGGCGCTACCATTATTTGCAGAACAGTCACGGCTCTTATTAGTGTGCACGGTCGATTTCACCACTCCACAAATTCTTTGTATATTGGCACTGAAAAGATCTCGCTAAACCAAGTTATGTGAAAACCNCCACTTTAATACGGAAGGACTGGACAGATTTTGTTTATAAAGTTAAAAGTAATTTACCTCTTGCTTCGTTATTCTCTTTATCACACATGTACATATCTACAAATGCCTAAACTTTTATCCATTTTTCCCTTTTATCCATTTTGTTTTATCCAATTTTTTTTCTCTTATTAGCAAAGAATGAAGAAAATAGGAGTCGTTAAGTGAGCGTTATTCCTCTCTAACATGCAGAATTTACAAACCTGTGAACTGGCAAGGGCTTGAGCGGGCGAGGGATTCACCGAGGAGGCGGGTACAGGAGGTGACTGCGAATTTACCCCAGGGGCTTCTCTGGAACTACTGTCCGCTACTGCTATGGGGGGAAGGTTCTTAAGATCCACAGTGGATTCTACACTTGCGTTAGCAGGCGCTGGTACTAAGAGGAATGTACCGTCGGAATTCTTCTTTAAAAGAAACTTTCCACCTGACTCAACTGGTCCAAGCAGGGGCGCCAAACATACAAACAACGAAACAAACACGACGAATGAGTAGCTCATGGTGGAGGGAATTGGCCACGAGACCTCATCAGCCATCTACAAGGATCGAGGCATGTTCTGTAGAAAGAAACAGAGAAAAAAAGTAAATATTAAAATAAAAAACTTTATTTAAATGTCAAATGTATTTGGCACTGTTGTGCTAATTGGAGGCGCTGTAATTATGTAAAAAAATATTTCAAATAGAACATAAACTATTAAGAATCCCAACTGGTGGGAGGCTGACCAGTGGGCTATTTACACCAGTGGGCTATTTAAACCCGGGGCTACCGAGATCAAATCCAGATAGCGGTAGTGGGTAGAACTCCAGATTTAATTTTCAAATCCGGCCAACCCCCTAAACCACTCGGCCACGCCGCCTCCACATAATGATGCTTTCAGTTTTGTTCGCACAGATATTGTCTGCTCCAGCTTGAAGTTTGTCGAGGTCTGTGATAGGTAATATTGCTGTGCAGCGTTCTACACTCAGAGAGAGAG